TAGGGGGTCTCTGTCTAAAAATTGGCAAAATAAGGTTTATTAGACAAGAATTTACCTAGCCGATCTCATTGCCCTCTAAGACTGAGAACACCTACATCCTGAAGTTTCCATTGCCTTAGACCTAAGGTCGCCTTGGATTCCAGCAGAGTCTTACAAGCCTGTAGTTGCCTGCTGCAAGTCAGAAGGATTCCTTTCATAGGAACAAAATTGCCCCTCAAGTGGAGAGGATCTTCCCTGAGCCACAAAACCAGGACTGAGATAAGGATCAACCAGACACCAGGCCACTACAAACATCCCATAAAACTGGTCCTTTTGTTTCACTAATGAGACAGTCTGATCCTCTTCATCAGAGTTGCCCTCTCCAGTTACTCAAGCTGGGGCCCTTTTCATATCTTTTCTCTTACTTTCCAATGAAAACTTTTTCCTCTAAGTTCACACTATTGCTATAGTTTTAATTTCCATTATCATTAAAGCAAGAACCTGTGCTTGCTGGTGACATTCCCATCCCCAGCCCTGGTAGCATCTATTCTTCTCTATGAATTTTCTTATTCTTGGTGCCTCATTTCTATGGCCTGAATGTTTGAATTCTAAATTTTGCATGTTGAAATGTTATCCTAAGGAATTGGCATTAAGAGGTAAGGCATTTGGGAGACAGAATCTTTCTCAATAGGATTAGTACCCTTATAAAAGAATCCCAAGAAAGACCCTTGATGCCTTCTGTCATGTGAGGACATAGAGAAAAGATGACCATTTATGAATCAGAAACTGTGAGGGTTAAGGTTAGGACCTAACTATTATCAGACACCAGTCTATTGGTACCTTGATCTTGGATGTCCACCCTCCACAACTGTGAGAAAAAAATTTCTGTTGTTTATAAGCTGTTTATGATATTTGCTAATACACCCCATACAAGCTCAGACATTCATAGAACTGGAATCATATTTGTACATCTGTACCTGGATTTTTTCACTTAGTGTGTTTTCATGGTGCTGTTATGTTGTAGTGTATATCAAAATTTCATTCTTTTTATGGTTGAATAATATTCCATTGTGTACCTGCATTATATTTTGGTAATCATCTGTTAATAGATGCTTTCTTTCCATCTTTTGATTATTATTGTGAATAATGTTGGTATGAACATTGGTCTACAAATATCTGTTTTAGTCCTTGCTTCTTAATTTTGGGAGGTATATACTTAGGACTGGAACTGCTAGAGTATATGGCAATTCTGTTTAACTTTCTTCCCCAGTACTAGATTTGAACCCAAATCTTTTGCACTGAGATTCATCCTTGAATCTTTTTAAAATTTTGAGACAGAATCTTGCTATGTTACTAAATTGCCCAGGGTGGGCTCAGATTTGAGATCTTCCTGGCTTAGTCTCAGAGTGCTGTGCTTACAGGTGGGTGACACTGGGCCTGGCTCTGTTTTTTGCTTTCCTGATAGTATTATTTTTTGATACATAAAAGTTCTTAATTGTGATGAAGTCCAATTTAACTTATTTTTCCTTTTCTTGCTGTGTTTTTATTTTCATACCTATGAAATTATTGCTAAATCCAATGTCATGAAAAATTTCTTAAATATTTTCTTTTAAGAGTTTTATTGTTTTACCTCTTAAATTTAGATCTTTGGTCCATTTTGTTAATTTTTCTATATTGAATAAGGTAGTAGCCCACCTTCAGTCTTTGATATATCAACATCCAGAATATTGTTTGTTGAAGATTGTTGTTTCCCCATTAGAGAGACTTGACACACTTTTTGAAAATCCACTGACCATATTTGTGAGGGTTTGTTTCTGGCTGTTTAAAAAATGAACAAGAATTAAGTTGTTGAAAAAAGGGAGAAAACCAATCTTTCTAAGGAGATTGATTGATTTAAGCAACAGTAAATATTGACTTGCTCTTATGAACAAGGAATGTAGCATGAATGGTATCTCACTTTCATATACCTCTTACACATAATGGATTCACTTAATGTGGCATTTAAAGTCAATTTTTGAAGGGAGTCTAGGTTATTTACTTTACTGATGTCTCCAGGAGAAAAACACAGGGTGGCACTATATCCATTCTTCTGCTTCATCTTGCAATTTTTTTCTTTTTTCCTTCTAGTATTCAACAGGTTGCAGTGAATAAAAAAAACACAACTCCCAAGGTCATCAGTCAATACTCGTAAATAATCCAGAGCAATGTTGCAAGGAGCAAGAGCTGACTCATTCACAGCAGCGAAACCCACTTTGTCCACAATAAAATTAGTAATTTATCCAATTATGAAGAGCAGAATTAGCAAAGTTCCTTATGGGCAAGTAAAAGAATGGAGAAGGGTGGAGAAAGGGATTATTTTTGGTGTGGATGGATTAGTGTCAACATGGGAAATTTTTATTATTTACACCAATTATATGTAAGATTTTTATATTATTTAGCAAATGTTTCCTCTCCACTAATCTGCTTTGAACAGAATAGGTGAATATATTCAGTAAAGAAATGTATTCTACATTCCAATAGAAAAACAAACAATTTCATGTCTATCTAAAGTGATCAAAGCATTTAAGCACATTTTTGTGGAATTTGAATGCAAGTATACCATGATTGTAAAAAATTAACTCCCACTTTTACACCGCATTCTCTTGGGTTTATAATAAGTAAAAAATGGGTTTATTTCTTAGTTGAATTAATTTTCATGATTACTGATGTAGCTACATAAATTCAGATGAAACTTTGAAATTGTTGCTTATAAGAGCCTAATCAGTTTTGTAGACAAGTCAATATCAGCCTGACTATCTTGATAGGGAAGGGGTCGGGAAGAATGAGGAAGAGAATAGAAGCATACACTATGGAAAGGATGGCAGTCTACTCTTTGCAATTGTGTGTGTGTGTGTGTGCATTTAAACTGTATGGCTTAGATATTTTTAAATTATACATTTAATTTTATCAAATATTAACTTGTGCTGTCCCTAATATTTCTATTTTTATTTGAGAAATTGAAGGGCCAGATCACTCCAATTATATTGTTTTACTTATATAAATATTTCTAGAAATGAAATAGACAACAGTTCATTTATGGATATTAAAATGAGAGAAAAGTGGTTCTTTTTGGTACCCAGGATTGAACTCAGGACCTTGCACTTTCAAGGCAGGTGGCGGCACCATTGAGCTAAATCCCCGGCCTGACTTTTTGTTACTTACTAGGGGAAGAAATTTCACAATATACTTACAACATCAACCAATAAGAAATTGAGAATATCATGTTCATTGGAAACTATACATCATTTGATATGTGTCACTTTAATTTTGCTTTCTATATTTTAATGCTTCTTTGTTATCACTATTTTCCCTTTGGATGAATGAACTATGACCATTTGCTTTTATCTTTTATCTATGACTTGTCTAAGAGTAATACCTTATTTCAAAGATAGTCTGACATGATTATTTTAAACCATTAAAATTCTTTTTACCTAATTATGCCAACAATAACTACTGACTTCCTATGGTGGATGTTAAGGAATTTAGCAAAAATGACATCCTCATCTTTGCTAGTCTCTTTAATTCTTCCTTATATAACTTAGAATTTAAGATTTCATTTTAAAAATAAGACATTCTTTTTATATCTCCTTTTTATATAACTTTTGTTGAAATAATTAGGCTCAATTCCTTAATTTCCCTCATTACTGGATAGTGATTTGCAGGTTTATATCTTGTTTTGTGTTTCATTTATCCTACAATTTTAGATAGTCAAAGTGACTATAGGCACTTTTTTTCCAGTCACAACTTCTATAATAAAGAATGAATTGTTTATTCACCTAAATTTTCAGAATACATTCTCATTTGCATTACTGGAAAACAGTCTGAAGCGGCAAATTTTCTAAGAATTATAAATCTAAAAATGACTTTATTTCATGTTCTGAAAATAATAAGCCCTTAGCTAGCGGTATAGTATTTAAGTCTATATGCATTAGAGATGTATCCACTCACAGGCAATAAAAATCACAATCACAGGTATTTATTTTTCTCCTGTAACAAGAAGTCTGCAGCTCTGTAGGTGACGATTTGGGTGCAGACGCCAATGTGGTGCTGCTGCTCCCATCCGTCATAGCATCTATGGGAAGGCAGAGGATTGGTCCCCAAGAAAGTCCACATGCCACTCCTTGGGGCCTGCTGTGAGTTTACATGGGAAGGGGACTGCAGTTAGCAACCAGCCCACTCCATATGGGGACATTATCCTGATTATCCAGGTGGGATCCTTCTAACTCCAAGGGTCATTAAAGTGGAAAAGCAAGCCAGAGTCCCTGGATGGTGGTAGGAGGACTCATTCTAGCATTGCTGGCTTTGAACACAGAGGAAAGGGCCAAGAGGTAAGGAATGTGGTGGCTTCTAGAGCCCGCACAGTGAGATGCAAAGAATTAGATTCTCTCTGGAAACTCTACGGAACTGAGCACTGCCTACCCCTTGGTTTCCATCAGGTGAGTCCTGTCTCAGTCTTCTGACACCCAGGATGGTGAGATAACAGATCTGTATTGTCTTCAGCTACTAAGTTTGCTCTGGCATTGACAAGAATCAGTGCAATGTCTAAGTGACTATGATAAAGCAACAGTGGGCACCAGGCCACACCAGGCAAATACATGTCCTTTCATCAGAGACCCAAAAGTTCTCTCACAGACACCCCAGCAGATTTCCATGTACTCCGCATGACCCAGAATTAGGTCTTATACCTACACTTTACTGTAAGAAAGGGAAGGAAAGCAATTAGCAGTTTAGCCTTCACAGTGGGGCAGACTGGAGCACAGCTGGGAGTGGCTTTTGAGGAGCTGCTCAGCTGAGCCATGATCCACTTTGCTTCTGGAAACCCCTGAGATGTTCCTCCCTTATGCTCTCCCCAATCTGTGTCTCCAAATACAAACACAAATGTGTATGGCTTCAACTCTTGTTAAAAGTAAACTCTGAGTGCGTGTGTGTGTTTGGGGTGGGTCCATTTGTGTGTGACTACAGAAGGTACAGAGGGGAAAGCATTAATGCTTGCTTATCAACTTTATTTAGAAGAAGTCAAAATCTCTACATTTTTTAATCTCATGGCTTTTTTCATGTAATGCAACAAATGTCTTTAATTTTGTCTTTTTTCTCTTATGTATTTGATATTTATTACTCTATAATTATTGCTATTTCAAAGTGAGAAGTTCACTGTTTATTTTCTAGACTTTCACCTCCCCGGTCATTTATGAAAGAAGCTGTCCTTATCTCAGTTCTTGAATGACTTCCAGGTCCACCTGTTGTTTCAGTAGTTAGGGTTAGAAACAGTATCCCCATGTGTTTCTCAATTATTAAGAGCATGGAGTGAAGAAATGTTCCTTGACCACGTCCATCTCCACTCATTCCCACTGTGCCAGAGATGAATGATGTCATTTGCTCCCCTGTTGCGCACTCATTCTTGACAGTGATCATTCCACTGACTTCATGGTACTGAGAGTTCTGAAGCAATAGATTCTCGAGCTCACTGAAATGTAGAGAGAAAGGGGTAAGCTCAGACCAAAGATTGACAAGGAGCCTTTTCCGCGGGAAATATTACTGCTACACCTACAGCTGGAAGGTAGAGCCTGCAAAAACGCAGCCACCCCCTTCTGCCTGGGGGAGGTGGATGAGTTCAGGTTGCACTACCCGGATCACAGCACCAGAAGAACACCGCACTGCCTGGAAGAGCCTTGGGACCACCAGTTCCGTGTAACCATCAACCTTCTCCTCTCTGGGCCGGAAGGGAGAAGACAAAGACAAGGAAAGAAGCAGAAGGTGACGTGGAGCATGTATCTGTCTTTCTCTGCACACGGGCCTGCACCAAATCTTATTAAAATCACGAATGTTTTCACCTCATTGTTTCTATGAAGAACTGCACAGGATTTGTCACTTTTCTTTTGGGAGGGGAATCACATTTATTTTAGTGAGAGAAGGCTCCTAGCACTTCACTAACTCCCAGGGAGTCATCTTCAAACATTAAAAGTATACATTAAAGATGATATTTTGGAGGAAAAAATCAGCATGTCCCATAAAAAGCCTCCATCTTTGCTGACAGCAGGAAAAGATTTAGATAACTCAGCATTTTATTTCTTTTGTGGCCTGCCTGTTGATTACCTGTCCAATACTCTTTTTCTTCTCCCCTCATTCTATAGGGCTTTCATCTTGTTTCATGCAGCACAGAATTCCAGTTTCTTATAGGTAGAGTGGTCATATGACACAGTCCTGGCCAATGATATTAGACAGAAGTCACTGGGTGGAGTTTCCCCAAAGGTTCTTGAAATAGCGAACTCAACTGATGTATCTCCTTAATCCTGTTCCCTTCTTTACTTTCCCTGAAGTTAATAAACATCATAACTAGAGCTCAGGCTCATATTCTGGGAATCCGAAAACAGGTCTTAACCTAAAGATGGACTCTGGTGGACCTGGGGCCTTTGTAGCATCCCTGGATTACCTAATATATCTAAACTAACATTGTACAGCTTTTCTGTTCCATGCCTCTGCAGTCAACCCTGGGAAATACTCTGCTCTGAGAGGAGAACTGTTTCCTCCCTGTGCACAGATACCTCTGGATGCCCATTTGCTAAGGTCTGGCTAAGGTGATATCACATGTGAGATTGTGATGGTAAATGTTGAAGACCACCACCCAGAGTCTCAGTCACTGCGGGCTCATAAATAAGTCCCAAGCTAGCTTTCTCTTTAAACTAAGTAGATCCACAGAAGACTCTAGAAGTTTCTGAACAGGGAACAAAACAGTTTCATAACATAAATAAATGACTATTGACACTTTTATTGGTGAAATATTGGTAAGGCACCAGACTCCAGCTTTGGGAAGTGAGATCATATCTAGAGACCCAAGAACCCTAAGACAGCCCAGAGGAGCCTGATCCCATGTGAGGTCCACCCAGGGAGCTGTCACTTAGGTCTTGAAATGAGATCTGTAAGCCAGGAAATTCTTCTATTGCTTTTTTGCTGGATTTCTTATCCCTGAAATTTCTTGTAAAGTTAATAACATTAATTTGGTTCAGCTGTTCTAAGGGGGAAATAAGGAAGAAGAAAATTGGATATCCTTAGGGAGTAATAGATACTGGAGCAAGCAAAGTCCAAGGAGGCAAACACAGAGATAAAAAGAAAAGAGGAAGAACCAATTAAGGAATCATCACACCCTACATGGAGTTTTCTGCTCAGGAGAGACTTTTGCTCCCTAATTTCCTTTCCAGATTGTATGTACTGGAAATACTGAATTCTGTGAGGAACAAAGTTTATAAACTCCTGCCTTTGGGCCCTGGACTAATTTAAATATTATATTTTATTCCTTTAAAAACATTTCCAAGCACCTGAAATGTGCCAGGCGTTGAATAAATTATAGTCAAGCTCTTTACTTAACTATGGAAAAGGATTCATTCCTTTTATTTCCCATAGCTGTAGATTGCAGCACAATTCAATAGTGCATTCCCTGCTTTCCACCTACCATGAAAACTTGGTTTGACAACACAGATTAGGCTAGGAGGCCAATTGTGATCACAAATTAAACCCCTTTGCATCCTGAGTGAAATGGCATTTTCTTTGCAAACTAGATGTCTCTCAAATGTTATTAACAGGATAAAAATAACTAATTACATAAGCCTTGGCAAGAAAACCTTACTTTCATATTATCGTTATCTGATATGAGAAGCAGCATACAATAGAAAACTACAGCTGTTTTTACAGTAGAACCTACAAATTATAAGTTGCATGTTATTACTGGAATTTCTGGGTTTATGAAGATATATCAATTTTTTAGTTTGGAACTTTTATTTCAGTCCAATTTAATTTTGTGCTTTATTATGTTTCTTAAAAATTTCAAAATACCCACAGATTTCTAGCAATTCAAGCATATTGTTCTACATCCAGGAAGGGCTGGAGGAGTGGAGGGCTTGCTTAGCATGTTCCAGGTCCTGGGTTCAACCCAATTTGTGCATGTTTGTGTGTAGAAATACATAACCAGAGTTACGTGCTACAGCATACAATGTAACTTCAGGCTTTTGCGACAAGACTTCCAGGGCTTGACTGCCCGCTGGTTAGAAAATGAGGACAGTGCTCTACCACAGAGCCTCATAGCAAATGGAAAAACCCAAGTAAGAGTTAGACCCACAGGTACAATAGGAATTATGAGTGCGATCCAAATGCAGAATCATTAAACTGCATTGGGCTCACTAATTGACTCCCCCACATTAGCAGTGAGCAGCCCTCTGGCCAAGTGGGGACTCATTCAATAGCCTTTATCTTTCTATCTCATTCAGTCAATTCATTAAAGCCTGTTGATCTCCCAGGGCGCCTTCCGATGAGTTGCACTGTTTTGTTTCTTGTGCTCCTTGGCTCATAGATCTCTTTCACAATGTCCCTGGTTTCTAAATGCTCCTAAGCACCAGCTGAGTTGTGAGGAACCTTTGGAGCCAGTGCTTTCACAAGCCTGTCTCTGAGCAAGTCAAAGCAGCAGGAGAGTAAGATGGGACTGGCGATAAGGGGGAAGAAAGGGGACAGAAGGATTTCCACCGGGGGCCTGCGTTCCCAGACAGAGCCAGCAGGCGGTAGCAACACTTCAGGGAAGGCCCCAGCCAGTCACGCAGACCAAACAATAGACTCCCCCCCCCCCCCCCCGCCAGTCCAGTCCTGAGCTGGAGAGAAGGTGGAGGGTGGGCGCTAATATTTTTCCTCCTTGGACTGCTCAGCCCTAGCTCCAGGCACCACCTGAGCGCACTTTCCACTGCCTCTCATCATCCAGGAGTGTGTGTGTGTGTGGGGGGGGGGGTCCCTTGCAGGGCGGGCTGGAAGGAGGAACCCGGAGGTACAGGGACTTGCCAAAGCCAGCTAGACCAGGCACATGGGGACCTCCCCTTTCCAGGCTGGGTTCCCTTCCCTTGAGCAGGGTGGAGGGAGGGAGGTTCCAGTCAGAAGCCCCAGCGCTGACCCAGATCCAGGCTGGAGCAGGCAGGGGAGTCTGAGTGCTGCGCAGGGACGCTTTACGACCCTGCGCCCGACTCTGGGGCTGCCTGACCTCCCCGCACCCGGCCCACACCCCAAGATTTGTTGGTCTCGCCCCCATCGCTTTTCTTTCTTCTTCTTTTCCTCAGTTCACGCCCACCTTAGAGCAAACCTGAGCAGGAGTCCCACTGCTTCAGTTCCCGGAGTTAGAGCCCAGAAGGTGGGGAGGCGCGGGCTGTGCGTCTGGCTCTGCCCGCCAGGCCAGGACAGCGGCAGAGCCCGAGGCCCTGGGCCGGGGCCAACCTGGGCCATGCGCCTCTGCCCCGGCGGCGGCTTGCGGCCTCGGCGCGTCCCTCCAGGCCAGCACCCAGGGAGCCGCCCCCTCCCGTCCCCGCGTCTCCCGCGCCGCCTAGGCTGAAGGGCGGGCTCGGCTCCCGGAGGAGGGGACAGAGAGGGCGGCTGAGGGGCGAGGGGCGGGCAGGGCTGGGAGAGGACGAGGAGGGGCTGGCCGGGCGGCTCTCGCTCCAGCGCCGCTCCGGAGCTGCAGGCGGGAGCCCGAGACCCAGCTCTGCGACTGCAATCGCGACACTGGCCCCGCAGGATCCCCAGCGCCAACCCCGTGTCCTCCTGGAATCTTAGAGTCCCCGCACCAAGCAGACGCGTGCCGCAGCCAAGCAGGATCCCCGGACCCAAGAGGACACGCGGAGCCCCCGCGAGCTCTGGGAGTCGCAGCTCCACCGCAGACCTCCAGGGGCTCAGACCGCGGAGCTTTAGGCCTGTGGGAAGGTAAGCTCTGGGGTGGGGTCACGGGATGACGTGCAGAGAGCTTAAGGTTCACAAAGTAGAGGAGCCCTCCCTCGGGGCCTCTGCACCCCCTGGGGCGCCTCCTGGGAGTACTGAGGTTGCTCTCCAGGCCAGGAGCTTCAGGAACTGGCCCAGGAATCCCTCATTATGCCCCACTACCCTTCCATCCCATTTTTAGAGACCTCCCTTTTGCTCTGGCTAGGGGGTCCTGATCTGGTGGTGAGAGCCCCTCTCAGAGGCAGGCCTCCTGTTGTCCTGCAGGGGATTGCCATCCCTCTGACTCCAGTGGCATCTCTCCAATCCCCTTGGAGCTGGGAGGAGCCAGGAGGCCCATGCACACCTGCTTGCAGCTCCTCACAGCATCCCTGGCCCCCAGCCTGGACCACATTAAAGTCTTGGAAGTGGAGGTTTGGGTCCTGCTTCTCAGCTTTAGCCCGGAGGTGTAACCAGAGTCTCCTGCCTGTCCTGCCCTTGCCCTCTCTGTTTTTGGGTGCTTGGCCCTGCCTGCTCCCCACTTCCACCCACCGTCTTGGCCGTCTGGCACCCTCTCTCCTCCCATCCCTGGGGAGCTGGCATGGGCCCAGCATGGCTGATGTGGTAATGTCCCTGGAAGTGCCCACGGAGGAGAGCTGTCAGGCCTGTTCCCAATCAGTTAGCTCAGGCCCTCCAGCACCAGGAGCACTTGACTCAGGCTTCTGAAGGGGAGAAGGCGCTTCTGCCCTGAGGGTCTCTGGGAAGGAGCAGGGGGCTGCTCACAGCCCGGGAAGCTGCCAGAGTGCTGGGCACTGAGGGGTTGAGTGCTGCTCAGAGGAGCAAGGCTCCTTTCTGAGCAACAGACTTTTTCCCTTAAAGGAAGACTATCATGGGTTCCTGTGTTCCCATCCAGTAACCCAGGGTGCAGGACTGCTTTGGAGCCTGTTGATCCAGTCAGTGTGCAAGGAGTTGGCTGGGCATGACCATGGAGTTACCCGGATGTGGGAGCAATAGGCCAGGATGGCTGAGCATGGGAAAGGCAGGCTCCTCCTCTGGGACAGCAGAGCTCCCAGCCCCTCAGCCCCTCCTGGCCCCTGGGCCTAGACCCTGGACCCCATGCCCTGCTGCCCCTCCAGGTGGATGGGGAATGGCAGCACCTGGGGCAGTAGGTTTGCTGTGCTCCCTCTCTCAGCTCACACACTTCTGCAGAGGCATCTCCCAAGCTCATAGCCAGGCAGATGCAGCAAGGCACAGGAGTTCATGGACCCCCGCCGAGCCAGCCCTAGCGACATGTCCTGGCACACACAGACACTCCCTTCCACAGGCAGCTCCTGCTGTGGCCCTCACACACACTCCCTTCCACGCTCTGCCTGGACACATCCTCAGGCACAGCCAGAACAGTGCTGCTCCTGGCACTCAGGGCCTTTCCCCGATACCTTTCAATGCTCTTCCCTCACACACACTTGCCACTTGTCCCACCCCCTCCTCGTGCCCTTTTCCAGGGCCCTGCGTGTCCCCTGTCAGTGCCCAATCAGTATAACTCATTCTACGTGGCTGTCTGGCTCCTTCTCCGTGGCTAGAGCCAGACACTGCCTGCATCTTAAAAGCCTTGCCTCCCTGCAGCCTGGGAGTGGGAAGCACATGTGTGTGCATGGATGTTCCTGGGGACATTGTCACAGGTGGGAGGCCTCAGGGGACACAGGACTCCTCTGCTGGGTCATCCACAAATGAGCTTCTTCACTTGGGCAGCAGGGGAGCAAGAGCCAGAGGAGAGCCACCTCCTCCCTGCCTGTCCTGGATGCTGCCTCACAGGCTGTTGGGCTCCTTTTCAAGGCAAAAGGCCAGAGCAGGAGAGAGCTGGGAGAGGATCTCCAGAGTGCAGATTAGAGGGAGGAGGCTGCAGTGTTCAGCTGAGCAAGGATTACCTTGGAATTTCCTGGGAGTTCAACAGCTGCAGACCAGGACAGAGGACAGGGCCCTGGTGCTGAGCCCTCCCACGCTGACCCTGCAGGGAACAGGTGTGAGAACCAGGCCAGCACCCACAGCAGACACCAAACCCTTGGCCCCTTTGCCCTGCGGATGCTCCCTCTCCCCTGGACTGCTGCAGGCCTTGCCTCAGTTTCTGTCTGGCCTTTGACTCCATGGTGCCCTCACCTGTGCTGATGCCCAGCCCCTCTGTTCCCCTCTGTGTCTTTGTGCTCCAGTCCTTTGCGTGACGTGGTGGCAGAGAAGCATGAGAATTGGAGCTTGGGAGAGAAGCTTCAGGAACGTCCAGGGATAACGGTTACTTTGCTTTTATTGCTGTCTCTCTGCTCGTTCACTCTCCACTTCTACCATCCCTTCATGTCTGCTTTCCTCTTGCAGGTGAACGTCCTTACCCTTTAGAGGGCCAAGAAGAGGGGCGGAAATGCAAACCTACACTGTATTTGTCTAGGTTTTAAAAACATCTCAGTTTTTTGTTTAGATTTTGTTGTATCTGTAAAAATAAAGTATGCCTATTAATATAATAGCAAGAAAAACAACTGAAGTCTGTGTGAGACAGAGCTGAACGATTCCCACCTATCATCCTGCATTGCTGCCTCCCACAGTGACCAACTTTAATTACCAGATCGATCTCTGTCTTACTTTCCTCTAAGCTGATTTGGCTTACATTGATTAATTTTTAAAAAATTTAAAAATTATATGGGCCAGGGATGTGGCTCAGTGGCACTGCACCTACCTGGCAAGCACAAGGTCCTGAGTTTGATCCCTGCTACCAAAAAAGAAAAAAAAATTAAAAAGTTATCCCGATTTATTAATTTGATTTACTTTTATACCCTCCATTTTCATAGAAAACATACTTCATAGCCCAAGATTCTACTAATGTTTATTGTGTGCCAGTTTTTGAAAGCAAAATTCTGCCTTGATGACTAAAATCTGTCTTAGTTTTGCAAGCAAAGAAGTGTAGCAGCTTGTGGATCTAGTGTCTCCATTGTCTCAGAAAGAAAATGGCATATCCAGAAAAGAAGAGAAAAAATAGGAAATCATAGAATGCAATTTTTGTCATTTGAAACTTCATCTAATCAGTTTCATATTCTGTGTTGTCAGTTCACATCCACATTTCTGCTGCTTTGGGCTTTTTATATTTTTAAAGCCTCATATGCATGTGCAATGTGTATGTTTTCCTGATTGTGATCAGTCTTCAGCAGTTTCTCGTGCTCAAAGATTTCTCAACACTGAACAGCTGCCCCCATGAGCTGAACAGATAGAGGAATCCCAAGCAGCCTCTGAGGAGGAAGAAGAGAAGGAGGAGGAGGAAGAGGAGGAGGAGGGGGAGGAGGAAAAGGGAGGAGGGAGGAGCCCGACCTTGTAGAGGCCTCTTCCCATGCTTGCTGTGCCCAGGACGCTCTCGTGGATGAGTGCAGAAGATGTTCCCGGTCCACAGGCACTGCAGGCCCTGTGGAAGTCAGGCTAAGCGCTGCTTGTTTAGTATTCCAGGCAGGTGGATCAGTCATGTTCTTATCGCTTGTTTTTTTACCTTTGACACTTGCTTCAGAAGAATCTGCAGTGGTGTGAATTAGTTGACAGCAATTTATTCCATATCTTAAAGTTTCCTCTTTCCTTAATTTTATTCTTGCAATAGAGATACACTCAGATTCTTTTTATGTTGAAAAATAAAAGAGTTTAATTTATCTTGTTTGTTAGATAAGCAGGAACTGACCTAATTCCTTAGTCCAATTCAGCAACAATTTTTTTTTTCCTGAAAAAATGTGCTTTTAACCTTCAACATTCTGCAACTGAATGTAAGAGGCTCCATCAAACATTAAAATATACTTCTGGGCACTTTAACATCTCAACTATTTCTCTTTAATGAATATCTTTGTTCTTAGCAAAATTTCAAAAAAAATTACTCAAGTGGTTGTCTCCATTTCCTTCTTTTCTTTTGGATTCTTCTTGATGACAGAAGTTTCAAAATAATCTGCATGGCTCCACATATGTCATAATTGCTTTTGCTCTTTTCTGAATTTTTCTGGAGAGAAGCCAGCTTCATGCTGTCATTGAGATGCATGCTAAGGCCACACAGGCTTACCTACTGCAGCCACAAGCTACTGTGTGACTTGAATTGTGGGTCATCAGAGCAAATATTCTGCCATTCCACATTGGTTAGAATGTTTCGCATTGCACAATGGACATTGTCTGTGATGAATTTTTTTATCTTGTTTTGCTGCCTTTCAAATACACACAAAAATTGTTAAGATGTTACCAAAATATTTATTGTTCCCCCTCCATGATTATCTAGTTGGTAAGTTTCGGAAGACACAGAGCTTATTGTTCCTTCTTTGTGCAGATTATAGAATGCATTCCCATTTGCCCAAAAGAGTCTATTTTAAAGAACATCTTCTGAGCAAATAGTAAAATAGATTTCATTGTTTAAGATCTTGATGCTGGCATTTTCTCATTTTGATAACAGTGTTCCTAAAGATTGTGACTGTGGACAAGATCTAGTTACCTTTGGGGTGTCCAGCACTTAGAGTTTGGGGGCCGAATCCACAACTTGAATTACTTTAGCAAACAGTTGTTAGAAATGGCAGCAGCCACAGGAGTTAAGGAAGTGATGCATGCTCCTTCCTTCAGGATCTCCCTTTCTTCTCTGAAGCCTTTATTTAATTTGTGAATGATCCTAGCAGCTTTGAGGGCAGTATTTGCAAAAATCTCCATTTCTTAGAAAGTGTTTGCTATAAGCAACTGCTTCCTACTTGCTGTCAGAGGCTGTGATTATACTCTCCATTTTACACAAAGACTGTCAGAAGTTGGAGAGGCAAATGTCAGAGGCTGGTTGGTGGATGCCCCATATACATACAAAAGCCAGATACTAAGGTGACTCTCCATGGTAGCTTCATAGAGACCAGACTGTTTTTTGTTGTTGTTGTTCATTTTTTGTGGTACTAGGTACTTGAAAGCAGGATTTTTACACTAAGGTACATCCTAAGCCCTGTTTAAATTTTGTTTTTAATTTTGAGGCAAGATCTCAATAAAGTTGCTGAGTTACTCAGTCTGGGCTAGAATTTTCGATCTGCTGTCTTGGCCTCTCCACTGCTGGGATTGCAAGCATGAGCCACCACACCTGGCTTGAAAGCTTTCACTTAGAACATATACAAGTTTACCAGATTATTAGGAATCAAATTGCGATTTTCTTATTGATCTCAGTTAAACGTAGTCTCATAGTTCAATTTCAGTTTCATTGAGAAATGTGTACTTTTCCACAGCACTGCAGCTCACAGGACCACATAAATGCAGCTTGCAACTCCCCTTCCAACTGGCTGCTTTTGTCTTTTGTTTTTGTTTTGGTTCCAGTCCTTTCTTGAGCAATGTGGACAACATGCCTATCAGACAGAAATATATGGATTCTGATGCTTCTGTTCATGAAACACACACAGGCTCTGGAGACTCAGCTGCAAGGAGAGAGGGAGCGCAGCTGCCATCTAGATCAGCAGGCAGAGCAGGTGCTGGCCTGTGGATCTTGGCTGTGACCCTGGAGGCAGCCATGTCTCTGCTCCTAGACTCCTGGGTACAATGCTGCACCTCCTGCAGCTCAGAAGCTTTCCTAAGTGGGAAGCTGTGTTTAGTTCAAAGAAATTGCTCTGAGGGCATAAATACTATTTGTGTTCATTGTACTAAGAAGTTGATATCTACACTCTTACAGGGAATTTTAAGTAATGAGGTGGTTGAAAGGATACTGCACATGCAAGATATTAAATGTAAAATTCAAGAGAATACAAGGAAAGTTAATTCTCCCTAGCTGTGGTCCCCATTCCTCTTCCTTTGCTTTCTTACCAAGTTGCCCATGTTCCTCCATAAGTGCACTTCCACATATATGTATATGTTTGCTCTTCAGATAACAAATGGGCGCTTACTGTAAACTGTCCTGCACTTAGCACTACTCCCAGAAATGATTTTCTTTCAGCTCATAACCTATTCATAACCATCCTCATCAAGGATGTGCCATCATTTCTTGACATCAGTCTGTGGATGAACAGTTAGTTTGCAGTCTTTTCCCTTATAAACAATTCGCATGAGTACCCTTGTTCACACTTCTATGCAAACTGGTAAAAGTTAGGGTCCCTGTACAGTGTCTCAGAGGTCGAGCTCCCAGACAAGGATTGGCAGTTGTTCTCCAACACCAGTGCCCCTCTGAGAACTCATAAACCCAGTGTAGCCAGATGACTCCATTGCTGATACTTTGTCCAACACAAAGTATGTATTCTCAGTGTCATAGGTAAAATGATATCTGAGTCAATTTAGGCTGCAGTAGCAAAGTGCCATAGACTGGGTGGGCTGTAACCCATAGACATGTATTTTTCACCACCCTGGAGGCTGGCCCAGGATCAGGGTGCCAGAGTATTTGGATTTGGGTGCAGGCCCTCTTTCCAGTTGCAACTGTGCTCTTTTCCCTGTAGTCTCAGGAGGTTAGAAAGAGGTTTAGGAAGCCATTTGGGATCTCTTTTATAAGACCATTAATCCCATTAATAAGGGAACAGCACTTAATTATTTCCCAAGCCTCTACCTCTTAATTCCATCAATACAGGGTCAAGATTTCTACCCAGGAATTAAGGACAGGGGCACCAACATTGATTATATAACAATGTGCATGCCACAGTTTTGTTTTTGCTTTGGGGTTTGTGTTACTGGGGACTGAACACGGGGCCTTCACATTAAGCTAAAAGCTCAACCCTTATTTTGAGGTAGGTTGTCTCTAAGTTGCCAAGTCAGGTTGGGCTCAAACATTCAATCCTTCTGCCTCAGCATGCCAGAGGGCAGGGATTCCAGGCAGGCGCTACTACTCCAATCTCCACGGTTGTTTTCATATGCCTTCCTTCAATTGTGAGCACACAAGAAGCATCTTTTCATGGGTTCAAGCCATACGCTTATTTTTCTGTAAGCCACAGGAAAGAACGAGTCCCGTGGGGGAGAGGACCTTTCTTAAAGAATGTCTTCCAGACCTACATAGCTCTTTCCTCACTCATCTTTCAGAAGCTTTATGCCTGTGTTCCTTTTATATCTGTTCCCCTCCCTTCCCTCCCTTCTTACCCGACAGCCTTCTTCATGCTCCACTCTCATCCCACTGCCTGGCTGCATTGTCCAGAGCATCCAGGGTGGCAGGCAGGGACACTGGGAGAATCTGTGTGTCAGTGAGCACAGAGCAGCCGCCTCCCCCCTGACTCTGATGCGAGGAATTTTTTTTTAACTTCCACACAGGTATCTGCTAGAGGAAGGAAGGAGAGTAAATGAAGAGAAAGAGCTGGAATCACTCCTTCCAGAAGAAAGAGGTAAGGAGCCAGAGTTCCCTGGGCTCCTCTTTAAGAAGGAGGCCAGGAGAGAGGATCACACAGAGTCACCGTCACACAGGGAGTGGGAAGTGGCCTGGCATGTGTTGCTCCAGGACAGTGGAATTTGCACAGCATACTCAGGAGAGACCCTGTCTCCCTGATGCTCCTGGCCCAAGGTTGGTGACTGGGCAGTTTGAGAGCTGTGGGAGGGGACACAGCACCAGATCTGAGTATCTGGACTGGACATGAAAATGCATTTCCTCCTTCCTGCCTCTTCTGGCCCTGCATGTCTCCCCAGGAAGCAAGAGTGGCTGTAGATCCCCAGACCTGTGAAAGCCACAGCCCCACCTGGAAGCAGGGTGGTGTCCAGGGTAATCGTGGGAGCCCTGAAGATGTCCCATGGCTACTAAGAGCGCTGCAAAT